AAGATTTAAATAAAAATCAAATTTTAATTGTAATTAATCAGTTTTAAACATTTAATTGAGATGATAGAAATAAGTGTTAAAAATATTAGTAGTAATCTCAGTTTTGAATTAATTAACTTAAAAATAATGTTTTACCAATAAACCATACAAAATACTATTCTTAGGAATATACGCTACAAAGATTAACAAAAACAATTCATAAGCTCTGCTAGTTCTTTTAAATTTACTTCGTAAGCACGGCTCTGGCGTTATTCATATAATGGGAAATGAAAATATATATTAGGTATTGAATAAACTTTTTATCAGATTTTTTAGATCTTTGGTTTAGCTTCTCGAGGCTTCAATGGTTTGCCGCACCTAAGGTTACATTCTTCGGGTGTCTTGTAACACCTGTTCTGAGTTCCAGCTTTGGAGACACAACAAGATTGCTTGCAAGTTTCTATTGATGCATCACTCGCTGCAAGACCTTGTCCAGCGAGAACTATATAAACAAAAAAAAACAAATTCATTTGGAAGAAAAAAACTATCATATCGAGGATATTATTATGTGATTTAAATGGTAATAAAGATAGATAATTAACAAAGGGAAACTAGTATAATTGCATACAAGCAATTAGAATGATGCAAAAGATAGCGAGCTTTGATGACGACATATTGTTATTTGTGATATTCTTACGATACAAATACGTTTACTGTTTTTTTTTTTAATTTTATGTTTACTAGTTTGATGGTAAGATTAATTTATAGATAGAAGTATTAAACTAATACTGCATGTTATGAATGGCGATCCATAAAAATTGGTTAGATTGTTTGACTTAATTTTTTCTAAATATAGTGTGGTAATTATATTGATGTTTAATTCTTTTTCTCCTTATTAAATTGAATACAGAAATAGTCAATAAATTGTCTTGTAACTTATTGTTATGCCTATGTTTGCATATTTAAGTATATTATATATTATAAGTCAAAGAATATGTTTTAATTGAATGTTTACATTTTTCTCTTTTTTATTTAGGTATATTTATATTTAAAAATAAATCAGTTAAAGCTTTATTAAAAATTGACTACTATATAATTTCTAAAGATAATATTTTAACATTTTTTTTTATTTGGAAAATATGCACCAATACTAATTAGTGTGTTAAAATTGAATATATTTACTGTTTTGCTAAAAATTAAATATACTCGAGCATATACGTTATTTTTACAGAGGGTGTAGATGATGTTTGTTATTTTCATTGAATATTAATTTTTTATTTATTTGAGAAAGGGTTTGATATTATTTTCCTCTCATTGTCGTTTTGTAATTACATTAGTAAACGGTTTACTGTAAACTTATAATACTTCAACTTAGGCAAGCCGAAATCAAGTGTTTGTTACTAGATCCTATTTGTTTGGCTTACGGTTGGTAGTTGGTATGTTAGAGCCTAGTTATGTGAATTTTGTAAAAATAATTTTTTTAAAAAAAATTCATTAATGGATACACTAATCATCATTAATAAACCAATATAACTGATAAACATTTTTGAAAGTGTGCTCCATTTTTGTCTAATCAAACACGTTTCATTTAGTTATATACAATTGTTTCTTAAACATGCCCATGGAGAAAAATCAGTTTTCAGAACTAAAAGATGATTGAATATGAGAGACTTAAACCCGGATAAAATATTGATGGAAACTATTGTTGAACCATATATATAACTGATAAATATTCCATTAGAAAACTTCACGTTCCGTACAATTTCCAATCATAAATTAACTTTTAGCTTTCAAAACAACCTTTTGGTGATCAAATTTCGCAACCAATAAGGTAAATACCTCAGCTGCTTGCTCAGTGCATACACGCTACTGCTATATTATATTTTGTTATCATGAAGACTTTTATATATCATGTTAGTTTCAAGTTGAAACGCATAGTTATAGCTCCAAGTCTCCAAATGCAAGAAAAAATAGTTTGTTGTTCATGAAATAACAAGAATATATTTTGCAAAATATTTTTTTTCAAAAATAAGTAGCTCTCATTATTTTATGTTTGATGAACACATTTTTTTAACATAAATAAGATTTAGTTTTAAGTTATCTATCATAAAGTTTTAAAATTTCAAAATAAACAATAGTAAAAGGTAATATTAGTAGTGACCTAGATTATAAATAACATTTCTTGTCACATAATTTCATAAGATATAAACAAGTATATATATATTCAGAAGATAATAAATAACATTTCTTGTCACATAATTTCATAAGATATAAAACTGATTCGGTTCTTGTCTTGAATCCATGAACATCATCCTTTCATCTTCACAACCCTAAAAACTTTCTTTGAAAGAGAATGGTGGACTCCTCTATCCTCCTTGCTAACTTGAAAGCCGGTTTCTGTAGCACTATCCTCGAAATCTGTCTACTCAGATTTTGTGAGGCCATGACTGTGAAAAGAAGTGCCGAGCTTATGCGCGAGAGAAGCCGAGAAACGACAACCTTCACGATGGTGGCAGCAATGACTGTGGTCATAGAAGATGACCGGAGGTTTTGATATTAGCCGAAGTGGCATTCAATTCTCACGATCAAGAAGAAATCAAGAGGATTAGGTTCTGAACTGTTAGGTCTCCTTTACCCTAAAGACGTCGACTTTTCTTCAGAGAAGACAAAACAAACTGAGAACAGAGATGAGACAAACAGAGGACTTGCAGAGAAACAGAGTAATGGCGTGACAAAGAAGTAAACGCAAATAAAGAAAAGGAGCACACAAGAGAGTTGTTAACCCAGTTACACCCGTTAACTAGGGTGTTAGTCTGGGCCGAGTCCTTGACTCGGAATCCACTAGATTCTGATAGAGATTACACAAAGAAAGTTAAGTGATACGCCTCAATGCCCTTCACTAGCACTTGAGACTCACTCTAACGTTTCTTTAGTCTAGAGAAACACAAGCTAAGAGTTTATGCTATTACAAGTTTTCTCTATTCTCTCTCTATCACTATTCGGCGCACCCCTCTCTCTTGTTACACTTCTTTCTCTTTATAGAGAAACCTTGGAGCAGCTTGCCTCATGACCTAACGCAGACGCTTTCCTTTGAACGCTTGACAGCTCACTGATTGCGTTTGCAGGGTGGAGACAAAACACATCTTGTTCCTTTTGAATTCCACATGAAGACAACTTGTACGAATGCTAAACCAGCAGTGTAGCCGCTTCTTCCTGTTGTGGTTCCAAAAGCATTCTTAACCATGGTACAGTTTACATCGACCGTGGTTAAGACATAAGTTGAGTTCTTGACTTGTTTTGTCTTCATAAGTAACTTGGTCATCAAGGTTTCACCATCACATGAACAAAACATATATAGGTGAGAACGAAGAAAGAAAAAAGAGATGTTCATGGCTCTCATTGGAAGAGACTTAGCTTGATGGTCCAAGCTCACCAAAAAATAATTTGGAAACTGAGGTATCTATCTCTGGTTTGGTTAGTTAGACTGTTGCTCTCAAAGAAGTCGACGGGACTTACAAGGTGGGGATTGGCTGTGAGTCAAAACCAGAAGGAGAATTCAATTAGAGAGTCGCGAATCTCTCTCATGATATGCTTTTTTTTTTGTAACTGCTCTCTATAGCTGTCTGAAAACAGGAAAAAGTAACATAACGTACAACTACTTCTACCATATGCACTTATGTACATGAGAAGTTTCAGTCTTTGAATTGCCATTGCAAAGAGTAAAAGTTTTATTGGAGGAACTGCAACTGCAAGAGGTTAGGAGGCGTTGTGTTGTTGGGTTTTCTTTCAGCAGAAAATGACAGGCATTGTAAGATCCTCTGTCGCGTGCAAGTTTATGTGGAAGTGTTGAGATGGCCAAAACGTCAGCCGTGAATAACACAAAGGTTGTTTACGTTAGAACATTGTCAACGACCGAATGTGTTGAAGTTGAGTGCGATTTTGAAACTATTTTAAATCCCGTGTCTGAAAATTGCTATCAAAGCAAACAGATATTAAAATTGGTTTTTGAAAAAAATAGAACTAAACCGAGAGAAATAAACCGGAAATTGGTCATACAAAGTGCTCTCTTCCACTTTTACTTAAATATATTCAATCTATGTGATTATGTTTTTATTGATCGCTACTATGAATATTGTGTAATAGAAGAGATCCTTGAACACTTTCAACGGGTAATAGATGAACTATATAATGTCTATGTATATCTCCTTCGACCATGTAAAACATCAGGAAATAATGAAAAACAATTGTATAAACATTGAGAAAATGTAAATAATGACATTTGCATCATAAGTTATAAAAATTAAACAAGTTTTTTTTTCAACAGAATTAAAAATAGTCAACATAATCTAATTTTTAATAAAGAGTAAATTAAATATTTTAGAATATATTTTACTAATTAATATATTTTCAATAGTTTTTCTTTTATTTATCCGCCCGTAGAGCGGGTTTGGCCCTAGTAACTGATAAACATTTTTGAAAGTGTTTGATTTTCGTCTAATCAAACACGTTTCATTTAGTTATATACAATTTTTTCTTAAACATGTCTATGGAAAAAAAAAACAAATTAGTTTTCAAAACTAAAAGATGATTGAATATAAAAAAAACTTAAACCCGGATAAACTATTGATGAAAAATAATTGTTGAGTTATATATATAACTGATAAATATTTCATTACAAAACTTCAAGTTCCGCACAAACTTCCAATAGTAAATTAGCTTTTCAGCTTCCAAAACATACTTCATCAGGTTACTCTATGCATACATGCTACTGATATATCATATTTTGTTATCATTAAGACTTTTATATATCATGTTAGTTTCAAGTTGAAACGCATAGCTATAGCACGAAGTCCCCAAATGCAACAAAACTAGTTTGTTGTTCGTGGATAAATCCCTTATTGAATTCTTTCGCCCATCGCACACCATCTTTTGTAACCTTATTCTCTCAAATATTTTATTTTCTTCATATTCATGGCCCAATCATAGCCTTAACCTAACATATGTTCATCCTTTCTTCCTTATCAATATCTTTCCGTCCCAAGTTCCTTAAAGCTCAAGTAAACTCGTCAACCTTAAACAAACCAAAGCCTCATACAAAGTCAATGACCTTTCTTAGTTTCTCTACATTTTCTTCGGGACTACTTTTAAAGAGTTTTTTTCCAAAGTCAAACAGATTTTACAATCTCAAGATCAGTAATACAATAAAGGAAATCATCTTGGGACCACTGATCACAAACATCACATAACAAAGAGGAAACAAAAAGCTGAGAAAGTTTTGTTTCACTTCTTTGAAGAAACCGTTGATGATGATTCGGGCTCTTTCCAAGCCGCTTGCCATTGCTTGTCGTATAACGTCGTCTCTTCGATTAGACCCTTGAGTTTATCTAAATCTTCGTTCTTGCGGATGAAAAGAACTCCAGCAACAGCCACAAACAAGAGTGTTTTGCAGAAGAAGTTTCCCATTTGATCAACAAGTCCTACTCCTGTAAGACTGTCAACAAAGTAAGCCATGAAAAACCCTATCATCGCAGCACGACCTACAAGAAAAACCCCATCACACTTCAAACTATGTTCAGTAGCAAAGTAGACACGATTTTGAAATAATAACCATTGAGGAGTTCAGCTTCGGGGAGATGGTATCTCTTCATCCATGCCCACCATGGAATAATCGAGGTATCAAAGAGAACAGGCTCGTCGTTAGTAGTTGTTTCTGGGTTATCTTCAAGCCACTTTCTCCTCTTTGCCTCTACACACAGTACACAACACAATCACTCTCATCTTCCTCTACCTTATTACAGAACCAAAGCAAGAAGCTTTATAGTAGTAACAGAGCCTTGACCAAAATGATCTCTTTCTAAACCTAAATCATTACCATGTCTTTGTTCTTTCTACACATTATCACTTCCTAGTACACAAACAATCACTCATCTTCCTACACCTTATAACAGAAGTCACCAAAGCAAGAAGCTTCCTAAAAACAGAGCCTTGACCAAAATGATCTCTTTCTAAACCTAAACCATTACAATGTCTTTGCTTATTCTAAAGATTATAACTTTGAAATAAAGATTCGAGCTTTAGAGAAAGGGTCTAACCAGCGACGATAACAGAGTCCCAATCTGTTTTCCCCTGTTTCTCGAACTGTTTCAGATCCCAAGTTCCATCAACCCACTTCGCGTCCTGAAACTTTATCTCCGTCGTGGTTGTTGGCAAATCAGTCTCGTCGGAGGAGCTTTCCACCGGAGGTTTAACCGGAACATCCTCTACAGGCTTCGGTATCTCAACGGTGGTCGCAGAGACTGCAGCGGAATCTGGTGTTGACGTACCGTTCTCGGAGGAAGCTCGGGAGAGGAGAGAGAAGCGTTTGGTGGAGAGGAGAGAGAGCGAGATCTTGGGGAGGATGAGATTAGGGTTTTGAAGTGAAGAAGAGATCGGTGGAGAGAATAGCGCCATGGATATGGACATTCGTTTGCTCCTCCTCTCTGCTCTCTGTTTTGAACTGTGTGGTTTGAAATGAGCTTTGAGTGAAGTGAGATAATATCGTTAATCGCATGGAATGCATGTCGTTTTATAGTCTTTTTGTACTTAAATAAACAACGCGACGTTTTCATTGACACTAAAACCCAGAATATTAATGGGCTTTACGTTTATAAACAAAAGCCTGTTGCAGTTTTAGGCCCAAAGTGAAGTTAAAACCGAACCAATGATTAACGAATTTTCTCGAATTGAGTAAGTCTTCGTCTTTTTTATCTATTCATCAAATCCTACGTGGATAGTTTCTATTGGTTCTGTGACGATGATTTGCTTCGCGGCAAAGTTTCAACTCAAACCGACGACCTCAACGCTTCAAGAACTTTCCGGAACTACCCTTTCCCGTGTTTTATGCTACCCCTACACATGTATCGAGAAGGCAAAGTCCACATAAGCAGTAAGGGCATTATCGTCAAAGTACCCCTATAAATAACGAAAGTCTCTCTCTCTCTTACAGATATTTATCTTCTTCGTTAATTTCATCGACGATTTTAATTGAACTTTTCTCTCTCACAAAGCCAAAAGAAAATGGATTCGTTCTCGTCCTTCTTCGATTCACAACCAGGAAGCAGAGGCTGGAGCTATGATTCTCTCAAGAACCTCCATCAGATCTCTCCTTCCGTCCAGAATCATCTCAAGCGGGTAACTCCTTCTCCTCGCGCACAAAAACGTGGTTTCTTGATCATCGATTGATTTTGAGATTCGTGTTAGTTATCGTGGTACTTATCGCTCTAGATGTTCCGATTGAATCTTAATTTGGTGGATAACTGAACGAATTGTACTTTCCCCAAATTTCTAGGGTTTCTAATTTCGTCGATTAAGTTTCTGTTTTAAAAGAGAGGGAGTTAGTTAGTCCGTTGATTGTAATCGTGATCGTGTTGTTCACTTACCGATATAATGATTCTCTTTGTATGTGTACTTATTGATTTGGAATCATATGTTTATGGTGTGGTTTTGTAGGTTTATTTGACTTTATGTTGTGCTCTTGTTGCGTCTGCCTTTGGAGCTTACCTTCATGTGCTTTGGAACATCGGTGGGATTCTCACTACCATTGCCTGCGTTGGGAGTATGATTTGGTTGCTCTCGTGTCCTCCTTATCAACAAGTATGTGGCTTTACAGTTACATTTATCTTCTGTGTGTGGCCTTTATATTGTATGGTTTTACTGAAATTATTGTTGTGTGTTTTTGGTGCAGCAAAAGAGGCTCTCACTTCTGTTTCTCTCTGCCGTTCTTGAAGGTGCTTCTGTTGGTCCCTTGATCAAAATGGCTGTTGATTTTGACCCAAGGTAGACTTATTGTTGCTGCTATTGTATTTCATTGAACACTGTGTTTCTGACATCTGTAGGAGCTGACGGTTTTTTTTTTTTTTTTGGGACTCCAGCATTCTCATCACTGCGTTTGTCGGAACTGCGATAGCGTTTATCTGTTTCTCAGGAGCAGCGATGCTAGCGAGACGCAGGGAGTATCTCTACCTTGGTGGACTTCTCTCGTCTGGCTTGTCCATGCTTATGTGGCTTCAGTTTGCTTCTTCGATCTTTGGTGGCTCCGCCTCTATCTTTAAGTTTGAGGTACACTAAACCGTTTTCTACCTCTTCTTTGTCTATTTGGTTTTGTTCAGACACCTCACTTTGTTATATGTCTTGTTGGTGTAGCTCTACTTTGGACTCTTGATCTTTGTGGGATACATGGTGGTGGACACACAAGAGATTATAGAGAAAGCACACCTTGGCGACATGGACTATGTGAAACATGCGTTGACCCTCTTCACCGATTTTGTGGCTGTGTTTGTTCGTATTCTCATCATTATGGTAAGTTCGTTTGTAGCTGATGTTTAAGTTAGTTGTGATTTATTTCTGTTTATAAATTTTTTTCATTGATGAGTTTTCTTCTGTTATACAGTTGAAGAACTCGGCAGATAAAGAGGAGAAGAAGAAGAAAAGGAGAAACTGAGGCTGAAAGTTGACAAGGAAAAGCTTAATAAGAGTGGGTGTTACAAAAATATATGACAGGGTTGTTGTTTCTACGTGTTAGGACGCACTTTTGGTTTGCATGTTCCTCTTATTGCCACACGATTGTAAATGGATCAAGTAGTTTTCGTCTTTTTTCTGTATCTCGACTCTTTCGTAATGTTCAAGGTGTTTGCTCTACTGTAAAGTCATTTTGAGCTGAGAATAAGCAGGGGAATGATTAATATTTGAACAATTTATCTCCAGGTAGTTCGGAGTTTTGTTAACGACTTTTAGTTTTAGCTTTGCCTTTGATAAGCAAAATATATTTACTGTATTTGGGTCTCTGAATCGAGTGTGTGAAATTCTACAATGCCTCACTCTCGTTGTCTTTCTTTGCTGATAACACAATTGGTTCCTCGAGAAATTTGCCTAGGCAGCAACGTATGGTTTCAAATGAAAAGAGAAGCTACACCATTAGTTAAGAAGCGGAAAAGAATGCTTGTCGTTTTCCTTGTGACTAAGAAAGTTACATCTTGCATCAACGGTGGTTGAGTAACGTAAGGATGTCAAAGCAGAGAATCAATCAAAATGCCCGTTCTAGTGGGTACCCTTTCGGCTCAAGTATAATACAATTCCTACCGACATCGCAATATAGTTTTCGACCCAACCCAAAAAGTACGGTTTTAGTTGAAGTTACGAAGTGTTGGACTATACAAATGTCCACCACACGAACGAGTATGTGTTTGATTTTATTAGCATGTCGTATCCGTGAAAGTAAAACTGATTGCAACAGACAGGAAATCGGCAATTTTATTTTCTTAGGCTATTGCATCAATATGGAGTATCTTCTTTCTTTGATACTGTTGTTTCTTTCTTTGTCGCAAAAGTGAATGAACAATGTGATTGCTTGTCGAGACACTTTACTTGTGACAACAAATGTGTTTCCCCCATGATTTGCTTATTCAACCATATCACAGCTAGTTGTCTAATGGTTGAAAATTTGGTCATGTTCAGGAAAGGCCACAAGCCGCCTCTTTTTAATGTGGATTGGTGGTTACAGTAAATATCATGAGCTACAAAAATATTAGTGTTTATTTTCTATTAACTTGTGGTATCTTGGATATATTTAAGAGAATATTAGCATTTTTTAAAATATTTTTTTTTTGTATTTTAGATCTATAGAAAGATTCAGACTAATGTTCAAGAGATATGAATAATCTACGGATTGACCTTCTATCTCCAAATATTTAAACAAATCCTAGCCATACGTTTATATCGTTTGCTATATAATGGAATGTTGCGAGATGTTTTTGAACTCAGATTACTTAGTAGTCTAAAACTTGTTTGCTACTAGACCACCACTACGTGATTAGAAATATTATTGTTCACAGGTTTTAAAATAAATTTTCAGATGATGTTTTTGTTTTATTTTACTGTTGTATCGATATTACTATTAGGAAAACTAGAGATTTTACCCGGGCTACGCCCGGGTTATACAAATATGATTGAACTAATATATATATTAAAAATATATTACATTTACGTTATAAAAACGTAAATAATATTTTACCAAAAATATATTAATAGTAAACTGAATATATATTTTGTAAAATGAACTAAATATGAGTGAAAATTTATTGTTTCTAATATTTAAAATATGAGCAAATATGAAATGAATAAAAAATTTGTTAAACTTTAGTTATTATCCATAATATTTTTTTTATCTCACATATTTAGGTTTATATAAAAAAATGTATTAGTAATCTCAACTTATTTAAACTTTTTACTTTAAATCACTAAACTTGCTATTTTTCACTTACAATTTAGTTCAAAATTATAGTTGGGAAATATATATGGTGTTTATAATCTGTATGAGTTGATGCCATCATTAACTGTGATAGCTTCATGACTACTGCCCGTATGTAGAGCAACTTTGAAAATTGACATCAATATTTGTTTGATGCTAAATTTAAAATGTAAAAACTTGCAAACATCATTATCTAAAAAAACTTGCAAACATCATTATCTAAAAAGTAATAACTGTAGAACTGATTCTATACTTTATTTTCACACTTACATTGGTTCATTATCGGAGTTATTATTTTGATTACTTTCTTTAGGTGTTTGATCATATTTTTTGCATCACTATCTTAAATTTCTAACGTATCAAGGAAAGATTTTAGGTTAAAAATTCAGTAACAAATCTAATTAGAGAATTTATATTTAATTAAATGAATGACTAAATCAATAAGACCAAAATGAATGACTAAATTATTATTTAGTTCTTAACAATTGTAATTACAAATGATTAGATAAAAATTATATTTAATTATTAATAAATGTATTATATTCCTTCTCTTTTTATTACTTCATGTTTATGTTTATGCACAAGGTTTTTAAAAATATTTTTTTTTGTATATTTTAAAATAAAAACATATTAACTATCTACCTAACTCAACTCAACCAATAGAAAATAGATTACAGAATATAAAAAGTCATATAACATTAACATAATTAATTTTATATTCAAATTTAAAAATATCATATAGTTTGAAACAAACAAAGAAAAACGGAGAGAGTAATTTTTATCGTATAAAGAATAATCCGAGTTCAAATATTATTTGATTGCTCAAGAAAATACACACTTATCTCTTATACGCTGGTTATGTATATGTATATTTTAATTTTTAATTTATGGAGTTTTTAAAATATCAAAAGCTTCACTTTAATATTGTAGTAAACTGATTTTAGTTTCAGAATTTAGTAGTCAAACTTATTTTTGAGGAATTAAAATATATATGCATTAAAATATGTATATAAAATTTGATAAAATAATAAAATAATAATTTTAAACATACTACATAATAATTTCTATAATATCGTAAATAATAGCTATTGTCTTTTTGTAAAAAATAATCAAATGATGTTTTGAAAAAATATATTAGTATTGCATGTATTTAAAAGCTCAAACATAATTAAAAGCAGAAGTACACAACAAACCATAATTAATCATCCGTGTTGTTTTTCTTGTGTTACTCTTCTATTTGTTTCTGTTAAGTTGCCACGTCCATACTCATGCTAAGCATTTAGAATTGCTATAGTTTGTTCAGATAGAAAATACATGTATGCAAAATGAAACCAAACCATCAGAACTATAACAAAACAAAAGCTCTCACTTAAATCCATCAAACCGTCATCAGAACTAATAACCATTATTTCTACCTTATGTTTAAAAAGTTATAGATCTCTTTATAATAAACAAAAACTATAGCTTGTGTTATAAACAAAAGCTCTTGCTTAGCATGAATCATGACCATTGTTTTGAACCGTTAAACATGATTGGTTTCTACTAACTTTAGCTAGTGCGCACACAGTTCCGCCCAATTCAAAAAGAAAATCCAAGGATTAGCAGCAAAGAACATGTACACAATCTGTTAGTGGAGTTCAGGAGACCTTTTTTTTTGGCACAAATGAGTGAACTAATGAAGTAAAAGAGATCAAAACTGAAATAACAAAGGAAGCCATTGAGAATTTAGAATGATCAAACCTTTTCATGCTTCGCTCAACAATTAACATCCCTAATTGTAAAAATAACAAAATCATAAAACATATCAAACGCATATAATTAAATGGACAAAACAATTAGCATTATATTACCAGCCCAAAAAGGAGGCACACCACAAAGCAAGATGATTAGAATAATCCCTTCACTCCAAACATCAGTCTCCTATCCATAACTTTGTTTTGATACTTGAGGATCATAAGCATAATCAGAAGACTATCAACTAAAATGGCATAACTTACTTGACAGTGTAACGTTTTATCAAGCAAACAATTACAAACACTATAATTCACAGAGCCTATGTTTTGAAGTTAACCACTATATACTAAATGAGATCAGATTCATAAGTTACATAATAGTGTCCACTACCAAATTTCAGTCAGATGGGGACACGTATGAGCGTCTAACAATCTTTTAAAGTTGCTACAACTAAGCAGTTTTCTACATTTCTGTATATTCAAATGTACAAAGCATTGTATGCATTGGGCTACACAAACCTTTAATATAAAGCAGAGGTATACGTTAACGTTTCCACTGATAAATAAGAAAACATAATGAGAAGGGAAATCCTAGGAAAAAAATAGCTTACTTAAAGAGAGATATCAGATATGTAATGGGATGCCTCTCAGTAGTGCTGTGAAGCAGCCATGGAGTTAACAGGTGGAAATTGGCAGGTCTTAGTAGCAACGTCTTGCCCGCATGGCTTTCTTCTTCCCATTAATGTCATTAGCTTGTGAACTTCCATCACCAGTAGACCCTGGTTTACCTATGGCAGAGGCGCATGCTACACATGATTTAGGAAATTGGAAGTTAAAGTACTTAGTTAGACTGACTGATATACCTTGTCCTGGCGCGTAATATTCGCCCAGTCAATGAGCTGTTGTTTGGTGTTGCATGAATTTGGATCTTTTTAGCTTCTCTGCGGATATGGTATCCTTCTATAGATCACAAAAGCATACATAAGCAATTTTAGTGATTCCAAAAAAATCTGAGAAAGTGCACCACGACGAATAAAGACGATGAGAATCAACCACATGTCTATGTTTTTACAATGCTGACCTCATTATCTGACTGGTTCTTTCGCCTTCTTCCCTTTAGTAGCTGCATATTCAAATTTAAAATTATTTTATTCAAAGCTGTATGCTAAATTTTGACTTAGGCTGTAGCATAATGGTAACATAGAAAAACTTATATATTTATATCTAAAGGTTCCCTCCAACGCAAGGTCAAAGAATCGAAACATACAAATGAACTAACCAATTCACTGGAGATAAATGCATTCTTGTCAGCGATCAAAGATATATTGTGGATGTAATGTAATATTAAAGGAAACCTGTGAGGAAGCCGATATATTGTGGATGTAATCTGACACAAGGAGAAATCAGTCACGGGAAATTATCTTTAAACGCCTGCTAATTAGCTAACCATTATCTGAGTCACTTTGATGGGATAGCAGAGTACAAAACGTACCGTAGAGATCCCCTCGTGAGCCATACTCCTGCTCGAATTGCTCAACATAATGGAACATGAATACAGCAGTACCTGTCGTTGGGATAATTTAGCAGTGGAATGGAATTTGCTAAGATGTGGGAATCAAGATTAGGATTTGATACCGTACATATTAATGGATGAACATAAACTCCTGACCAATTAAGGGTCCATTGGCTGTGTTCTGGGAATGAACGTGGGGGCTGGCGGAAGATTTCTCTGTATTGTATTCCTGGTAGACGATTGTTACAGGGATTTCAGAAGAAAGATGCAGAGAATGAGGTAGAGTGGGAGATGAAAGGAAATCATTAAGAAGAGTTTAAAGCAAACAATTGATTGTAGAGGAGGATGGGTAACGGAGGTTGAAGAAGATGAAATCAGAAGATGATCCGATCGTTTTAGAAAGTTTTCAGAGTGTATTTTAAGATGGGCCGAATATAATTGAGCCCATACGTAATATGACAACTCTTTCAGGCACAAAAGAAGCTGATGTGGCGGATGTGAATCTTTTGATTGGTGGATTAAATTAAAGGACGTGGACACTCTCACTATTGAGAGTATTCCCCTTTTAATATAGTAAGATTTACTGTTATAAGCAAATAAAACACAAATTCACTGATTAGATAACTTCTACTCCCCTTTATTTTTCTTTCTATCTCTCTCTAACTTCTTTTTATACATCTAATTACATTTTCTGGTTAGCTGACTAATAAACCTTTATTATTATCTGTTGTAAATGGCTTAAGTCGTTTGTGAACATGTTAATTTAGATAGTTAGATGTTAAGGGGTCTGGGGGGAAGGCTTCAATATTTCGAGTTGATGAATCGGCCACTCCTCCAAGGATGAAAAGCAAGAAAGTATAGAATCTGATACCATAATTTGTTTATGGTCGTAAGCATTGTTGTTCACACGGCATAAATCTTACATATAGAGGTTTTTCGTGCGATGAAACGAAAAAATCTAATCGACTAATAATAATAACTACTACTAAGTGATACCTGAATCACTGAAATAGCAAGAAAATAAGTTTATTTTCTTGCTTGGAAAACATTATCTAGATAGAAAGAAATAATATTATTAATGCCCAACTCTCTATGTAACTATTGTCATTTTGCGCTGTAGTGGTTGTGTTTTTATTAGCATGAATGTTGAATTGTAAGCATATCATCATTTGGTATACTTTGTTTTTATTTAAGCACTACTCGTGCATTACCTTTCCTTTTTTTAACCTTGTCTCATTAGTTCTATCGCCTCATCTCCACTGTCCGGCTCTATGATTATTACATTATTCCATCAGAATTTTGCTAAAATAATTAGCACGCAGCTCAACTAAAGTTCGCGAGTTTCTTGCCTTCTCGTTGCATTTTACTTTTACATTTGATTTAGACTCCACATTGTTTTCGAGTTACGTAACAATAAATCACTATTTTCTACAATTTACTTTTTCCTTATAGTTTCACCAAACCCGAAAGTTTTCATGGATGATTGCATATTTAATTTTTTAAAGGTATGTCTATATGGTTAACTTAATGGGATTAGTACAATACGCGTTCGACACGGAGTTATGTACCCAAATTAGTTCACTAATCACATTCACGAAACAAAAGAAAGTGGGACCCATCACCACAAATACTTTAACCAAATCAAACGGTGCTGAGAAGAGTTGTGTCCATGATCGTCGTCATTACGGCCGGTGACTTTACAAACTATTTTATTTTGTTTTGTTTGATATTAGAAAAATCTGTTAATAAATGTAAATATATACTGACGAACGTCATGCCATCACATACTTTGAAATAAGTTAAAACCTAATCTTATAAACTAGTCTTATCTTCGTATATCAAAAGGACATTCAATTATTTACGTCAGTATCTACAATTTTAAAATTGGTAAAGTGAAAAGAACTATGTTTATTGATTTCATATTTCCTTCTTGGCCTTTTAAAAATAACTTTCTTGGTTTAACACACGAGGTAAGTTACACTTTTTTTTTTTACATTTTATGAAGTAAGAGGATTTGTGATTAAATAGTAACTTAAATACATCTGACTAAATGCAAATAAGAGAGATGAGCTAGTAGAAGACCTTGTACCAAAAAGACGTATTTGATTGGCTTTCTAAAATGACGTATTTCACTGGTATAACATAGAAATAAATTTTCATCTTTCAATGTTGCAAATATTCAATTGTAATATAAACATTTTTTACAATTGAAAAAGAGAAAGGTAAAGTTCAAAATTTTGTATTTCTATTTAATATAGATTGTACTATTCCACAATATTATATAACCTACATTTGTTTTTCTTGTGACTATTGCAATTGTTGCCTTTGTTAAATATTAATTATCTCGTTGGAATATCAAAAAGAAAAAAAAACAATTAGGAAGAAAAAGTCTATAGTCAACAAGAAGGAACCATAAGGCACAAAGCAATGATATTCCTCCAGCCCCTCATCGTCACTTTCTTACCATTAGAGGTTTCTCTATACATTATTGAGATTAGATCAATTATTTCATTCTTATTTTTTAAATAAAAAAGCTTAAATATATATTCCGGTTCATAGCGTTTGGAGCATTTTAGACGCAAAGATACACATTCAAACCAATAACTAAAATTAGTTAATCTTCCCATGCCATATATAAATTTATTACTGTAACCATTATTTGCTAAAAAAGTATTGAGATGAGCTCACTTATTTTATTTTCCGTTCTTTTATTAAAAGCTTGGTGCGTTTGCACAATTTAAGAAAAGAACTAAAAATAGTTAATTGTTGAATTTTAATTTAATTTGTAACAAAGGTTTAATATATCTGGACCAAATATTCACTCTTAAGCATTTTACACACTGTCAATCAAATGAAAATGCTCTTGTATTAATTAACTAAGTAATTAAAAAAATATCTCTAAGTAAAGTATACATTAAAGTTTTTTAAAAAAAACTAGATTAATATAAAAAGCTAAAAAAGGAGAGGAGGAAGCTGAAACATTAACTTCATTATACATAAAGAGCCATTTTTAACATATACACAATCACTCTCTCTCTCTCTCTAAGCCTCACCACATTCTCTCTCTCTCTTTCCCTTTTTCACAGCCATTTGTTAGATTCCTCTCCCCCTCTCTCTCTCTCTATTGGATTGTCTCAGAGACTGATTAGCACAAGCAACCCAAACCAGAATTTTCCTCTTCATTTGTTTCTAAAATTTTTCTGGGCTGTTCTTGTTTTCCTCCGTCTCTTCTCGAATTCTCTCAAAAGAAGTTTCTTTTCACTGTTTCTTGGTTTTATTTTCTTCTGTTGCAGAAAAGACTTTTCTGGGTTTTTTCTCTTCTTGGTGAAGCTTCTTGTTTTTGTTTTTGTTGTATAGCTCCATCATACCATACATAATAGCAATAATCTTGAGAAACTTCTGATATACTCTCTGTTTCTTGTGAAACTATAAACTTTGAAAAAGAAACAAGAAAAAAAGATGGGGAAGCAAGGGCCTTGCTGTCACTGTGGAGTTACAAGTGAGTTCTTGTTTGTATTCTGTGAAATAAAACTTCACCTTTCAGCTGCTTACATGTTCTTCAATAAAAGAACTGCTTTGAATTGATAATGCAACATGAACTAGCAGTGATCATGTTAAATGATTTGTTTGTGTTTATGTTTTGCTCATCACTCTTTATTCAGCTTTTGAATGTTTATGTAATGTTGGTCATGTGTTGTGAAGTCTCTAAAATGCTTTACTCAGACTGAATATAGTGTTCTATATTGGGAGAGGTTGTGACATTTTGTTTGTTTTGCAAATTGAGTGTTTGTAACCATTTGAAACAATGTTGTGTAAACAGGCACACCTCTATGGAGAAACGGTCCACCAGAGAAGCCAGTGTTGTGCAATGCGTGTGGTTCCAGATGGAGAACAAAAGGAACACTAGTAAACTACACACCACTTCATTCTCGTGCTGAAGGTGATGAGCTTGAGGATCACAGAGGTCAGAGAACGATGCTGATTAATGGAATGTCTGTGAACAAAAAGATTCCCAAGAGGAAGGCATACCAAGAAAATTTCACAGTCAAGAGAACCAACTTGGAATTCAACAACGGTTTCAAGAAGAGGTCATTAGAGGAAGAAGGTAGCAATAGGTCGAGTTCAGGTTCGGTTGTGTCAAACTCAGAGAGCTGTGAACAGTCTAACGCATGGGAAACGACTTTTCCTTGTAAGAAGAGGACGTGTGTGGGGCGTCCTAAGGCGGCTTCTTCTGTTGAGAAGCTCACAAAGGATCTTTTTAGTATTCTACAAGAACAGCAATCTTCTTGTCTCTCTGGTTGTTCAGAGGAAGACTTGCTTTTTGAGAATGAGTCACCTATGGTGATAGGACATGGGAGTGTTCTTATGAGGGATCCTCACTCATGTGGTGCTCGAGATGAGGAGTCTGAAGCTAGCTCACTCTTGGTTGAGAGGAGCAAGTCCTCATCAATACGTTCTGTTGGATTTGAGAGATGCCAGAGATCTCTTAGCTTTGGTGGGAAAGATATAAAGCAGGAGCAGCTCAAGAGGTACAAAGCCTTTGAGACAGGAAAGACTAAGCTTGCTTTAGAAAGAGTATCTGATGATGTTTTTGGTTGCAGGACCAAATCTCAAGTGTTGGGAAGAGCTAGTTTACCACTCTGTAACATAGATTTGAAGGTAAAATTCATTTGCAAGTCCCAACAGTTTTGTTTCTTTAAAGATATATATGAATATCTTACAATGGAAATGTCCTTCTGCAGGATGTTTTCAACTTTGATGAGTTCATGGAGAAGTTTACAGAGGAAGAACAGCAAAAACTGATGAAACTACTTCCTGGAGTTGACTCTGTTGATCTTCCTGATAGGTTTTAACTTCAATGCAACTTACAGTGTTTACAGATTTGTTTTCAGCTGCTACTTGGAGTTCTTATACTTTTTTGTGTTCTCATTTGATCAGCCTGAGAAGCATGTTTGAGTGTTCTCAATTCAAAGAGAACTTCTCCTTGTTTCAGCAACTTGTGGCAGATGGTGTTTTTGAGACATTATCATCATCGTCATCATCTTCCTCTGGATCTAAACCTGAAGAGTTCAAGAGACTTGCAAAGCTTGCTTTATCAGATCCTAACAAATCACATTTGTTGGAAAGCTATTACATGCTCAAGGTTTCGACATATACTGTACTCTTCTTGCAACAAATAGTTCTCTATACTTCCGGCTTTGGCTCACGTTAATATTTGCTTCAGGAACAGACAAAAGTGAGTGAAGACTCTGTTACCACAACATCAAGTGTCTCAAATCCGAATCTATCAAATAGTAATAGACTTGTAACTGTTGAAAGATCTTGTGAAAGCTTAAGCCAAAACTTCTCAGGTTCTTTCAAGATTCTTGAATCATGTCAATGCATAGCTTTCTGCAATAAAGTCTGTATGTTTCTGATTGTTTTTGAGTTTTGCATTCTTCAGAGACAAGTGCTGTGATGAAGAGTCCCAAAGAAGTGATGAAGATTAGATCAAAACACATTGGAACCGAAGAGATTGTAGAGAACAGTATCTCTTCCTTAAACCATATGAGCTACGGTGGACCATATGAAGATAATGATATGTGTGATGAGGATGTTCTTCTTGATGTGCCGTCTAATGGATCATTCCCACAAGCAGAGCTTCTTCACATGATATGAAAGAAGAGAAAGTTTCAGAAAACTCTTTGGTGTTTGTTTCTCAGAAGAAAGACTAAAAATACCTTTTTTAAGATCTCTCTCTCTCTCATAACTCTAATGACTGAAGAGAAAACTTAATTACTCTTTAGGCCTCTCTGAGAAAATGTGGCCAAATGAGTTTTTTTCTGCATTGGAAATTGCAATCTGCAGATATTTTAAACAGAAGAACATTTTATAAAATGCTCTCTTTGGTGGTCTTATACCATACACTATTTTTTGCTCAAAAAAAAAAAAAAAAATACCATACACTATTTTTTTGTTCATACTATACTCGACGAACAAGAAACTTTTTCTTGTAAAAGTTAATTTAATTTTTCATTTGACATACTTGAATATTTAATTTTGAGCTCGTATTAGTATGGGAACATATTTAATACTCTTTCATTTCAAAGAAAAATTGTTTCACAAAGATTCATTTTTATCTTTTCAATACATTATTTAATGACAAATTGTAATTTTTTTAAAAACATTGTGTTTATTAAAATTATACTCCCTCCTTTTCATTTTATTTGTCATTCTAGTTTTTTGCACACAGATTAAGAAAATATTTAATTTTACACATTTTCAAGATAAAAACACAATTTTCTATACACCTAACCACTTTTCTACCAATAGAATATTATATAAAACTAATAAATTTTGTCTCGAAACTCTAAAACGACACTTAATTTATGACAAAAAAATAAGCCTAGAATGACATATTCTGAAACGGAGGGAGTATTAGTTAAAAATTGTGGAAATACTTAATTAAAAAATAATATATTAGTAATAAAAATTTAATGTGTGAAAATTGTAAAATTATATTTTCTTAAAACAGTTATAGTAGCATTCTGATACCATATGAGTAAATTTTTTATGCATATTTTCTGAGTTTTCTTAGTATTGGACATGAATTTTCATAAATGTACTCACGATGATGATAGTTAAACGTGAGTTTTCATAAAACATTCTGAATTTTCATAAAACATATAATAGAATTGTAGTAGTAGTTCTCAGTAACAATAATCACTATTAATAATACACATCATATCGAGCTTTTAAGTGGGCTCTTATTGAACTAATGCAGTTCTATCTTATAATTTGGGTCCCCCAAGTCTCTGAAAACATCAGTGCCTAAAAAGAAGTTAAGAGTCTTTACGAAACAGATCTCCTTCACAATGCGTATAAAAGATAATAAGTCATTTCCACTAAATGTAGTGGAGAAGAAAACATAATCATGAAAGGGTCTATTGTGTCAAAGATGGACATCCGATATAATTGACAAAGAAGCAAATTTAATGGACAAAACAAAGAAGAACAAGATCATAGAGAGTTAACAGCTATGAATGCCTCTCATAAGTTGAGATGGTAGATGATGCGTAGAAGCTGCTGATAGCTGCTGTTATGTGGGAGAAGCTAAGGTGAGTTTTAGGATGAAACCAATGATGAGTCCGATGAGTCCAACCATAGCTGCCAACTTTAAGGATAACCCATTGGCGCTGCTCCTTTTTCGTTTCTTCAACATCTCCTGCAGTGTCATTTAAAATATGTTTTGGTGATATCATTTGTAAATAAAAAAGCAATGGCCATTGATTAACCAATAACAGAATATCAAGGAAAAGATTATTGAGGGCGTACCACTTCATGTTGCAGCTGTTGTGTTAGCTTAACAGCTGCATCTCGCTCTTCCTTCAGCCGCTGTATAGCCTGATCATACATAATGATGGTAGAAACAATTAGCGTGAGAATTAAAACAAGGCAGGAACATTCTCTTAATCTATGACGTGGTGAGGTACATTTGTTCACCGTATGATAGAAATGTATAATAACAGAGACAAAACAAAAAGACTACATAAAGCCTTGAAAGTGGTATGTGTTTGAGTGTCCCAACCAACCTACTTAATCCTTTCATTACAATTTCTATTGCCTGAAAACCACAACTACGAATGCTAGAAAGTCTTTCTCGGATGTGAATTTGTATACTGATTCTTGCATACAAGTATCACAAAAAAGGTGCACTGTCTATGCAAGAGACTCATGGGTTATATATTGGTATCACCTAGAAAAAATATTTTCCTACTAAAAGACTTTTGCTACGATCTTAATTGGTTAACACACAAGTAAAAGACGCATAAGAGCAAATAATGCGGTTAAGAATTGCAGGAAATCACAGTCACTGAAGTTGTTACTCACAGTCACTGAGATGGATTCAGAGCCATTTCCATCGCCACTGGTTGCTCCAGATTCAGAGGATCTTTGCGTTGTAGACGTAGCAATATACGAGACCTTGAGCTTACACTCTGTTAACGTCTTGCTACTATCCTTGGTGAACTACACACATGCATGACAAGTTTCTTGTCAATTTCTTTTCCCATAAAAGTTAAAAAAACCATGATTCTGAGAGCAAGTGAATTAGAATCTGTGACTTACTGTGTCCTGTGGAAGGTCATCAACATCAGTGTGAGGAGGCACAACGGTGCTTTGAAGGAGAAACTTGTCTTTGCACTGCATATCTGGAGGATACTCCCTTTGCGCTTGTAGAGTAACTACAGTTTTAGAAGATGTTAATCATATCCATGTTTAAACTTTTAAACTGTCAGAGACTGAAAGATTGGTGAACAATGAGTGTACCTCTAATGATGCAGGAGTCCCATGGCTGAATGACACCAGTGTTGGGTCTAACAAAATACTTTTTTGGAGATGTTGTTTTCACCTGATTTTGTGAAGCAAAAATCACAAAACAAAAGTTAATTCATAATAACTTGACCACAAAGAAAGCATATGAAGTAGGTGGGGGATTGATGAAGAAGAAATAAATACCTTGAAAGCAACATAGTTCTCGGTTTTATTGGAAACTTTAAGATCACAGTAGCTTTGCTTCTCGAGTTCAACTGATAACAATATCAACATATATATATATATTCTCATGAGCATCCCAATAGAATCAACTTCATAGATCAGACAGACGACAGTTTCCTTCACGGCTTATAGAGTATCATCAACCCCCAAAAACGTATTCTTTATTGCACTGTTCACATGTTTCTAAGGTACTTATACCATAAGCTCACATAGATTTGAGTAAAAACATGGAGATTTCGTATCAATAATATTCACAAAATCGAATTCTTAAGAGACGCCATTCCCCTTCTACATTTCTAAGAAGAAAGCAAACGATATGAATAGATTTCACTTGAAAAAAGAATCTACCATATATCACACAAGTTTAAACCTAATAGAAATAGTATACATGCACGAGCACGAATCATTCCAAGCGTAACAAAGTGTAACGAGAGAGTGGGGAATTATTGCTTACAAACAAACTTGAGTTCATCAGGTTGAATGGAGATGAGTTGATTCTCTCCAACGCCACTCATTGCTGATTATATCTTTACCACACAAAATCAATCAACGGGGGGCCTAATTCAAACAATTCCTGATTTCTTCTTTTTTTTCTGGAAAAGGTAGAGAAATTAAAAGCAGAAAAGTACGGATCAAACCTGGGAGAAAAAAGTCAAGGCCTAAAGGTGTAACGGTCGATGAAGCGAAGAAAGTGGTTAATTGCGTTTTTTCTCTTTTCCCTCTCCGGAAATAGCTCTCCACCAAAGACCAAGTCCCTCCTCTCGTTTGATTGGTGGTGAGCGAAATCAAATTAACTTTCTACTTTCTATAGAGAGAGAGTGATATATATGAACGGTTCGAAGAGCAAAGGCGCTTCGTGGAATGTCCACGTGACGTCGAAGCAAAAGTTCCGTGCGATTTCCTCCGGTATGTTCGGGGAAAAAAGAGGAGAGGGAGACGGAGACTAGAAATGTGACACGTGTGTTAACAGTTGTGTATTATTATTTGAGGAGAATTTTAAAAGGTGTAGTAGCGACAGGCTGGAAAATAAGGGAAGCATACGTGGCAGGTTTTGATTGGTGAAATGGTTTATTAATGTCTGTAGTAATTAAATATCAGACCTACCTAAAGTCTTTATTTATTTATTTAATCGAGGTTGTAGAATCGTGACGAAGAACACACACAGAGACGGTAGTTAACTAGTAGTTGAGAGGAAAGAGACAAGAAAATACTCGAAAAAGGATTTCCCAGAATATTTCTTTGTCTGCTTTACCTGAAAAGACACTGATTCTAATAGGAATGTACATAATAGCATCTTCTAAAAAAGAGTTTGAATCCATTTTAGTAATTTACTTTTTCAAGATCAAACACATCAACAGGGAGGAGGCGCCTCACAAAGCATTTTGATTTTACTTTTCTCAAATGTCAATGTAAACTTACATGAAGGGAGCAGAAATTCAAAAGACAAACACACAAACAGTTACTACTAGAAGAGAAAGAGAGGGAGAGAGTCTGTAAAAGGAAGAGATCTTAGCTACCTTTGGAGGCTGAAACAGCATACCCCACTGTGTTGGGTATGTTCACTTAAAAGTGGAGAGACGAGGAAGTTTGTCCCTCAGATAGTAAAGCCTTGCTCTTCTCACTTTCCTGTGACTTACCACTTTTATCTCCTTTATGTTTGGTGAGTATCTGTTCATATCAATTAAAACACACATCAGGTTAGTTTGTGATAATTGGATAGAGAAGGAAGAAGATAAACTTACATAGGAAACACGATTTCAACGCCAATACCAGCAATGATTCTCCTGATACGAATAGTAGTGTGGATGCCTGCGTTCTGTCTAGACATCACTATACCTTTGTAGATCGATAGCCTACGTCTGTTCTCTGGAACTTCCTATCAAAAACCCAAACCCCACCACCATGCCAAAAATCAAATCTTGCAGTTTTGATACATAAAAAATGCCTTTCAGATTCACCAAAGAACAAGAGTTTACCAGTTTGATCTCAACAATGTCCCCTGTCCTAATTTCTGGAACCGGTCTTACGCTCTCCGAAACCTCAATTGCTTTCTTGTTCAGTATCTACACAAACATAAGTAAACCAAACATTTCATCTCTCTAGATTATCAGAACCAAACACAAACATATCTCTCTCTTTACTGCAATGTAGCATCAGACAAAATAAACATTGCAAATATTCATACAGAACACACTTGATATTACAGAATATCGTTTTTGAAAAATTAACTTACCCCCATTACATCTCCGAGCTTGGTTCTAGGCTTCCACGGAGTTTTAGCTTCCTCCACCCCAGTGTCTTCCACTGTTTCAGCAACATCCTCCAAGTCAGCTTCAGTTTCACCTTCATTGCTCTCTTCGGCTTTAGCTATAATCACCCTTCTCTTCCTGGACTCGATCGCGCCGGGATGGTTTAGAGAAACCCTAGAAACTGAGATACGAGAGTTCACTGATGAGGCTCGTGGTAGAAACCAAGAAACCCCTAAACTCTTTGACGATAGATTAGGGATTCTTGGTATCATATGCAGTGCCTGCATACCAGAAGTTAATGAATCATGATGTGAAGTGAGTTCGTGAGGGAGAGAAAACGAAGAACCTGAGGAAGGAGATGAGAGCTTGTCGCCATGTTTGCACAAACCCAAATACTTCCGAGAAGCAGAGTCACGGAGCCTTATCAGCAATGTTGAAATCTCGTCTTATCCTAGCTTGCAATTAATTTTGATGGGCCATTTACTAACTCTTATGGCTCTATTTACTTGGGCTTAGGCCCATATTTAATTTAAATATGGTTTTTTTTTAACAACAATTTACTACTTTATTATAGAGTAAAAGGATAATACAAATAGTTAACCAACCAAATAGGTGGTATATCATAATAAATACATGTTTGTGAAATCTTCAAGACTTCTTTAGCAATGATATCAGCCGCTGAATTCCTCTCTCTGTTGACACATGATAGGGAACACTCTTCCAGCCGCATCATCCAGAAACGGAGATCATGAAGAACATTTCCAAGTTCACAGTGTTGGTTGACCACGTTATTAATAACTCGTACTAGTTCCTCATTATCACCTTCAAACCAAACATGTCGATATCCACGAATCCATATTTGTTGCATCGCATATAAGAACCCCAAGGCTTCACCTTCCAACGGTGAGTTGATGTTTGAAATTTTAGCACCTCCTGATCCCATATATTTTCCATTATGATCACGTAATATCCAACTTACTCCACCAAAGTCAGATCCAACTTTCCAACTACAATCAAAATTACACTTCATCCATTCGCTTATTGGCGGTTCCCATGTAGATGGTTTCCTTCTTCTACTCCTCATCTCTTTATGTCTACTTACATTGCAGGTCCATTCGTTATTAGCCTCCACTGCTCGTCTTGCGTCATCTATAGGATGAACATTTCTTCTAGAGAATAGAAATTCATTCCTGGATTTCCATATGGTTTATAACGAGAAGCCATTACCAAAACCGATTTCGCAAAATGCCTGCTGCTATAATGATCTACTTGTTACGTGACCCTTAAAGTTATGAGAGGACACCACTTTTGATATCACATTATTACCGTGTGATTAGTATAAACAAATGTATGCGTTTTTTCAATATCATATTTGCTACTGTTTTAGTGTTTTATAATTTGGTAATAATTAAATCATTCATTACTATAATTTCATGCCCGATGCGTAAAGAATTACAAGTCACATTATCACAAGCTCACGTAATTTGTTTTGACCTTCTTCCTTGCTGAACTGTGTCATACGTGTATATGTTTCGTTTATCATGGATTAGCTATATTAAGTTTGCTTTCATTATTTAGCAACATTTTCTATGTCGGCAAGACCACTTCATTATCTTATAAACAAGTGCAAAATATAACACCTGTCCCCTGATCTACATTTCACACCACAAGTCCACAACTTATACTTTTACAATTCTTCGAACAAATCTGGAAAAAAGTAATTTTGATTAATCAGAATAAGCAGACCTAAGGAATTCTCAAACTAATCTTAAATCACATTAAACACAAATCGTTAAATTTGAATCTCCATGGTTCTTTTTTATAAAAATTGATTTTACTATAAAAAGAAAATTGTGTGTTTGAGTTGACAATATATAAGTATATAACGTGATGTTCCTTATTAAAGTCGTATACATGTTCACGTTATCATTGACTTACACCACAAGCGATGCAAAGCTAAAGAAAACAATCTTTCTTTGTCTGTAATTTTCATAGAATCAATATATCTAAAAATTAGTCAGATTCGGAACTTTAAAACTGCTCCTAAATTTAGTTTTCCTCCGAGTGTATAGAATCAGAAAGAAAAAAAGAAAAAAAGTAGTGATAAAAGAGAAGAAAATTGTTGATTTGTGTCATCCAAGCATCTCTCTATTGGTTTTGCCACGTTGGCATTCAAACACGAAACAAAACGCATTTAACAATGTCCGAAAACGTGGGTCCCACCTTTTTATGTATTAACCGCGTCTTTGACAAAAAGAGAGTACTTAAAGGGTGAAGAAAAGAAAATAACAAAAAAAAAAGGAACACTCACCGTTTAGGTCTTTCTCTCTCATCTTTGTTCACACGACGATCTCTGAAATTACTATCGCCGGATTCTCCGTTTGATATTGATACGAGACTTAGCCATGAATCCTGAATAGTAAGACGCTTCTCTTCTCGTCGGTTTACCTGCTTTTTTTCTATTTGAATTTTGTCTTTTTTTTTGTTCGATTTTGCTTTGGAATCTGTGTTGGTTTTAATTTTGGTCCGATCGATTTCTCGATTTTGGATCTTAAAAAAGGTTTAGATCTAGGCGAATTTGACCGAGATCTGCAACTTATGTTGATTACGTAGAAAATACCTTTTATCTCATCTCATTCATTATCCTATGGATGATTCATATCTGTCTCATGACTGAACCATGGCAAAAGACACCATCCTTTGATGAGTTTTTAAGAGCTTCACTTAGATTGTCTTAATGATGTTTACCCTTCTATTTATTTTTATTTTTTGTGTTGCAGTGACTATCTGTTCAAGCTTTTGCTTATCGGTGATTCTGGTGTTGGCAAATCCTGCTTGCTTCTAAGATTTGCTGTAAGTAAAAAAACTCTAGTTTATTTCTCAGATGAAGGAGTTTGTTTACATGTCTTTATCTCTTTTGGTATTGTCTCTCTTTTTTAACATTGAACATAAGATAAACAATCTATGGGATCTTGAAGTTCAATACTTGTTTCTCTAAAACCATTTACTCAATTGAGTCGCCACTTAGTTCTCTGTTTACACTATGTTATGTATCGTTGTTACTCTTTGCGTTCTTATAATTTGATATCTCGAATTTGTGTGTGTACAGGATGATTCTTACCTGGATAGCTACATCAGTACCATTGGTGTTGACTTTGTAAGCATTCTCTTCACATCACTTGTTAATATAAAGAACATATCAAAAAGTATTAATCTTTAGTTATGTTATGATGCAGAAAATCCGCACAGTTGAACAGGACGGAAAGACTATCAAACTCCAGATCGTAAGTGTTCCTTAGCTGCATAAGCAACATATTTTTTTTACAAAGAGCACATAATCACCCTTTTTGGTATTGTTTCGTGTATACAGTGGGACACAGCAGGCCAAGAACGTTTCAGGACAATCACAAGCAGCTACTACAGAGGAGCTCATGGCATCATTGTATGCACTCTCACTCTCACAACAAACCAATCATCTTTCTTGTTAATACATCCATCCTTTGGTTGACCCCTCACAATTGGCTTTATCTTGGCAGGTCACTTATGATGTCACTGACCAAGAGAGCTTCAACAACGTCAAGCAATGGCTGAATGAAATCGACCGTTACGCCAGCGAGAATGTCAACAAGCTACTGGTTGGGAACAAAAACGATCTCACATCACAGAAAGTTGTATCCACTGAGACAGCTCAGGTAATTAACAAAACTAAACCAAGCGGCCTCTTTTGCGGTAAACCTTATTGAAAAAAGGCAATAATAACGTTGTTGTATCCTCCTCCTACAGGCTTTTGCAGATGAACTAGGGATCCCTTTCCTGGAAACGAGTGCTAAAAATGCAACTAATGTTGAAGAAGCTTTCATGGCCATGACTGCTGCAATCAAGACCAGGTTTGTATTACGTTCTACTTTTGTTCCTTAAAAGTTAAACCCTTCACTTCCATATTCAACCGTGTTCTTGTTGTTTCTGTCTGCAGAATGGCTAGCCAACCATCTGGAGGTGCCAAGCCACCGACCGTCAATATTCGCGGACAGCCAGTGAACCAGCAATCAGGCTGTTGCTCATCTTGATTCCTTTATTCTCCAACAAGTCTCTTTGGATCATCTACAACCATTATTATCATTTGTTTGCATTGCATGTAAGACTTCTATAATTGACAACTCGTTGAATCATTTTTCTTTCATTTTGTAGCTTTGCTATTCTTTATTTGATGTATTTTTCAAGTTTGAAACCCATAAATTTTATAGTAACAAGCCCTTTCATGCGAATAAGGGAGAAACCTTTTCTAGTTTTTCCAATCTTAGAAAATAATTCGAATTATGCTTCATTTTCAGTAAGACATTTCTTGTTCAAAAGACTAGATTAATCACAGTAATCAACAGGGGCAGTTAAGATCAGAAGGATCTAAAATTTTGTGAGACAGAAGGATTATAACTTTGTTTTTCCATCATAAAGTCAAACCTACCAAACTTGTTTTGCAGAGAAAGTGTAACAAAAACTGATGGAACTAAAACAGCAAAATTAAACTAAAGAGAGAGTGGAGATAGATAGATATGCTTGATGGTCCAGAAGGGGTTGTGTCTTTACTTGCCCAACGATGGGAACTGAGCACTGTCTTCGATAGCTGGAGCAGGAGCTCCTCCATTCTTTTGGTTTCCTCCATTAACTTTTCCATCTCTCTGTCCACGACCATCACGACCTCCATCTCTCTGTCCACGACCACGGTATCCACCTCTTGGGTTGTATCTCTCTCCCTTAGCCGGCTTCAAGAACTCGTTAATGCTCAACGACTACAAAACAAAGCATAAAATTCAGTACAAACGAAAGGGCTTTTGCATTTTGGATAGAAGAGAAAGAAACAAGACCTTCTTGGCCTTCTCTTCTTTCTCAGCAGCATCTTTGCGTTTGTCCTTGTCGGATCCCTGAAAACAATTCAACAACAAGAATCAACTCTTGCTTCACACAACCAAATAGAGAATGTAGAATAGTTGAGATTCTCACCAGCTTGATGAAGATCTCCTCATCATTAGTCTTCTTGTTAGAGAGCTGTTGCATAGACTCAAACACTTTGGTGTCAACTTTCCTTTCCTCAACCTTTGTGGCTTGCAGAGCTTTCTTCTTCTCCTCCAGAATCTTCTCATACTCTTCCAGCGTCATCTCCTATACCAATTTCAAAGTTAGTATACATACTTCCTTGAGGATGAATGAAGCTTTGAACTTTACCCATTCTCATATAATTATACCTTGTCTTCAGGTTCTTGCTCAACTTCAGGAGCTTCTTTCTTTGCATCAGTGGTAGCATCCTCACCTCCTTCCTTCTCAGCAACAGAGCTCTTCTCAACCTCTGTTGTGGTCTCCTCGGTTGCTCTAATATCAGACAAAGATTAAGAGTTTCTTACTCATTCTACAGACACAAACAAACTGCAATATATTGAGAGGGATGCTTTACGGTTGAATATCATCTTCAGGGGTACCCCAGTTTCCACGACCACCACCCTCACGTTTCACGTCATTACTAGCAAACATCAACTCAAAAAAATCACAAACAGGAGAAGTTAAAAATAGCAGTAACCGAAGTAAACGACCTTACCTACGACCTGTTCCACTACGGCGATCATAGACCCTCCTCGGACGTTCAACATCACCAGTTTTACCATTAGCAAATCCACCAACGTGTCCACCACGACCACCACTCTCACGGTATCCACGAAACCCACCGTTCCTTTCTCCATCTTTTGGTCCGTCCTTAGGATCATGAGGTCTGTTTCCACCAGGGTTAAATGAACCACGAGGAGGCCCACGTCCAGGAGCACCACCACGACCTCCTGAAGGACCATTTCTTGACTCCCTCACTACATTGATTAAACATAAATCATATTACATCCAATATATCCTAGTAACACACAACATAGATGCTTTTATTACACCTTAAAAAAAAACTAACACAATCAAACCTTGTATATTACTCAAACCTTGATTTGATTTGTTACCTAATATTAATCAAACCTTGTATATTTATCAAACATGATGTATATATAACACAGATTCAAACATATTACATTCAATATATCCTAGTAACACACAACACGATGTTTTTATTACAAGTTAAAGAGATAAAGTAAAGACAGTAACACACTACAAACCCTCCAAAGTGACAAAAAGCTTACATTTGTCTATTTATCTTTTTATTACAATCATCAAGATTCAGTCAAATGCTACCCAACATGTCCTAACACAATATCTACACGAACCATATATAACATTTTTTTAAAAAAACTATCTAAATATAACATTTTTACCAGCTTGAGAAGGAGGAAGTGGCTTGGTAGGCAACTTAGCGGCCTTGGCAGGCTGAACAGGAGCTGGTTTCTCTTTCTTGGGTAAAGTCAAAACAATCTGGCTTGGATCCTCAGAGTCATCTCCCAAGAGATCGAACGGGTTCAAAGTCGTCATTTCTGGTTCCAAAAACAGAGGGAGAAACCTTGTTTAACTACAAGATTTCAACGAGAGGGAATCTGGAAACAAAGATCGAGCAAGAGAATCAGAGGAGAGTGAGTAGCTAGTGGGAAAACCCTTTAGCAATTATGCGGCGGAGGTATAAAGTTTATTATGCGCTTTAAAAAACCTAATCCGCATTGTTTTGTAAACCGGACCTTGGTACTGGTATTGTCATTGGGTCAAACATCGGTCTGGTCCGACCGATTTTAAATAAAAATATACTAATTAACTTATGATTGATTATATAATAATTTTTTCCAAATTTATGATTAACAAACCATAGAAAATATTTAGTCTCTCCACTTGTTTAGAGATTCTTTTTGTTTTTTTACAGTATAGTTTTTGATATAACTTTGATAAAAATGTAATTAATGAAAATAAAATTATATTTGACAAATTTTATTTTGTAATTATACAAAAAGGTTGATAATTATAAAATTGAAAATTGACTCTGTAATTAATGATATTTGTTGTTTGCCGTAGAAACAATTTAAAATGTTTTTAATATATGGAAAACATCTTGCAATATGGTAAAAAAATATTATCACTTTTTTAAAATTATACAGAGATATCTTATGATTCATCAAAGTGGATTCAAAATATTCATGTGTTAATTACATATGTTTTCGGTTGAGGTATTGGTTTCATGTCCCTAGCGATAGAAAAATTTTAATATTCTAATAACTGGAACTCTAATCAAATGACTTTTATTATATTTGGTTAACTTTAAAGTTAATCACCATTGGACCACGAGTCTCAGTTATGATTAATATGAGGCAAGTGGTTCCAGTTATGATCAATCTGAGGCAAGTGGTTCGAATACTCAACAACCATTTTCTATTGAAATGCTACCAATTTTTGTGAATTATGTGCATACTAAATCTGATTATGTGATTCAAATGTACACCATGAATTGTAATTAGATCTGGTCAAACACATATGGGCAAAAATTTAGAATGTTTCATGCTTAAATTTATGTGTGTGCTTTAAGAGTTTAATTTTTTGCGGTTTAATAAGAGTCTATTGTACTAATTAAGTTATGTATTTTTATTTTTGCTTTCTTTGTATCGTGTGTGTTTAACATTTCTTAATAATGTATGTTTGTTTCATGTGTATTTAAAGTTTTTAAATTTTAATTGTTTTACTAATATTAATTTTCGTATTTAAAAAAAAAATCAAATTAGGTAAAAATCTAACTAAAAAATGAATATATTATTAATTTTAATTGTTTCATTAATATTTATTTTGTATTATTTAAAAAATAAACTAAGTATAATAATTTAAAATATATATTATTAAAAGTTATGTTATTTTAGTTTTTAATTTATTTATTAATATGTAATTATATATTGTAAGAAAAAAAATATAAATTAAAATTGTGAAGTAGGGTGTTGAAATTTCTAAAACAAACTATTGTAGAAGTTTAGAATGAAGTGGGTGTTGAATGAATGAGGTGGAAAAATAGAAGATGATGTGGAATATGTTAAAAGGAAAAGATAAGGTGTTGAAGGGGGGGGGGGGGGGAGGGGTGTTGAAACCCATGTTCGAGAACGCGTTAGGCACTAGTCGGGCGGTTCGGTTGGACCTAGCGTCTAGAAAGAAAATCGGGAATTAAGCGGAGATTATACAGGGCGATTATTTGATATGTTATAAAATATGTTAATCTTTAATTGTGTACTAGATTTTGACCCGCCCTTAAAGAGGGCGGGTCAACCGTTTTTGCTTTAAATTATGCCCTTGTTCGATTATTCACAAGTATGTATAGGCATGAGTATCCGGGTTCAGATCGATTGTTGTTAATAATTTGGTTTGGTTCGACATATATAGATTAAATAAAATTACGTACAATTTAATGTGTGGTGTAGGATTTATTTTTTATTCGTTTTAGTTAAATAACAAATTATAGGGATCCGATAAAATTATGAGTTCTATTCGGTAATCTAAAGTATTGATTTGTAAAAACTGAAATAAGATAATTAATTTTTAATAATTTCATATTGGTTAAAATTGATTTTTTAAATAAAAATTATTTTTAGATATATTTTACCAATTCGTTTTTCTTAGTAAGGATCTGTCTCTGGGCAAAGAACAACTATTTTAATAATTCTCGTTTGTTAGATGACAATAGAAATAAAAAATGTATTTGTGAGATCCATTTGTACTCAAGAAATATTTAACATATTTAATGAAACAATCTGTAAATATTAATTGTAAAATTTCTACTTCATTAATTGCAGATTAATTTTGTAAAATCATCTTTATTTTAAAATTTAAAATATTTATTTTAAAAATAATTAAAATTTATGTAAAATTATAGTTTTAAGCGCATATATTTAGTAAATTTTATGTCATATTGATTTTAAAATGCAGTCTTTGTAGTTATTTATTTAAACTTAAAAATTAACATTTATTTGGTCATTTTAAATCATAATTGCATCATGTGAAAATATTTTAAAATATTGAAAAATATTTTTCACATAGTTTTAATTGTAATTTAAGTGCATATGTTAAAAATATATTGGATATTTTTAATTTTGAAAAACAGATAAAACAATTATAGAACAAACAAATCAATCCTAAAATTAAGGAGGGGTTAAAATATTAGATTTTATTGTTATTTGGTTATTTAAAAAAGCTTAAAATTACTATTGTTGGATTAAATATATTTTGTTAGGATTAAATAGATTTTGTAATGAATTAAATAAAAATCATAGGTTTTAAATATTCTAGTGGCATATCTGTAAATATTGTAGATTTTGACCCGCTCTTTGAAAGCGCGGGATTTCGTTTTTGTTAATAAAACTATTAATCCGTTTGTTAGTTTATAATAAAAATGACAAATATATTAGTTTAACCTGTTTATACTTGATAAATATTTTGTGACCTGAAGCAAATGACCATATTAAAGAAATTTTAGCTTATTCCCACATATATATATATATATATATATCAAAATGAATTTTTGACCCGTATACAATGCAGAAATGATAATGATAATTGTAGTTATATATGGTATGTAAAAAAATAATGATTTGGAATGTATAAATAAAATAATATATTTTTTCTATTTAATTTTATTTCAAATTAAAAGACACTATTCATTTAAATCAATATGAATTGTTACAATTTTGAAATACCCGCATAATCCAAACAATATTCATTTTATTAGATTTTTAGCTTTACATCACCAAGCATGATATTTTTTTAAATAAATATCATAAAATCCATATGTCTACCTAGTAAGACTTCTTAATGGTAGATAAAAATGGTACTTCTCTTTTAATAGAGAAGATATAGGCTATAATTGTAAATTTCTTAAAAATATCAATCTATTTTATTTTTAGGTTATAATAAAATTTAATTAATATAATCTAAACTAATATTATGTTACTTAATTATGAATTAATTAATTAATTATTTAATAAAAAATATTTAAAAAATTTAGTAGGATTTTGTTAGATTTTTCTCAACAGATTTCTTTATAACTAAAATATAATTAAAATTAATAATTAAAATTAATAATCAAAATTGATTTATTATTAATATTTTATTGATTATTATGTTATATTATGCAATTAATGAAATGGACCTAGTAAGACTTCTTAATGGTAGATAAAAGTGGTACTTCTCTTTTTGATTATACATATATACTTTCACATTATTGTTAGCGAAAAAGATGCAATTATAAATGTCAAAAATATTATTTTTTTTCAGATCATAATTGAGATCAAAATACATACCTAAAGCTGAAATAAAATAAAGAAATTATAGCTTATGAAAAAAAATTATAGTTAGCTATAATAAACCTCGATGTTGATAAAACTCGATGCAAAAAGATAAGAAACATCAAAACTCCGATGAAAACTGCACCTATTTTCGGCCATATCTGTTCCTTGGTTTGATCCAGATAAACATGTGACATCACAAAGCAAAAATTGAAGTGAGAAAACAATATACCAAAAGACACCATGAATTCTGGAAAAAAATTGAAGTTACATGAAAGTTATCGAGGTGATCAATTACATCGCTTCCATTCTTTAAACTTTTTATTTCTTGAATGAGCTATAACCTCCTTCGATTCCTGTTATCTGGACGGACACACATCACTATGTCAATGTGGTTACCATCAAACATGAAATTTAAATTAACATGATAACACAATTAAATTAAGCAAACAATTAGGCAAACAAATAACTAACACAAAAAAATTCACATATAAGTCACGAATCTCTTTTGATTGTAGCCATTATCCCAGTNCTTCGATTCCTGTTATCTGGACGGACACACATCACTATGTCAATGTGGTTACCATCAAACATGAAATTTAAATTAACATGATAACACAATTAAATTAAGCAAACAATTAGGCAAACAAATAACTAACACAAAAAAATTCACATATAAGTCACGAATCTCTTTTGATTGTAGCCATTATCCCAGTCTCTGTTAGACCTGTGTAAAATCACAAGCATGGCGTTTAAATTAGAACTATAATTTGTTGAAAAAAGAACAAAAAAGCTATGAAAACGAAAAGCGGATGTGTCGATTATTGAAATGAGAATACCTTATATAATGAGTTGAAGATGATATTTTGTTTAGCTTGCAACACAATTTACGGTGTTAAAGTTTATTACCTTTTGAAACTAAGTTAAATACTAAGATATTATTGTTAATTATTTATTATAGAATATATGGTAACAACAATAGATTTGTTAGAGATTCACGTTAGTAGTTAGTTGTAGATAAGAATAATATATTTCTAAT